CCCCCCCCCCCATGTCGCGCTGAATCTAAAACGTTTACTTTCCGTAGTCAAAATAAAGACAAGATAACAATAAAAATAAAATTGTAATGCATTCTGTATTTCCTCAGTGTCGAAATGGGACGAGGCTCTGTGCCACCTGTGGCGCACCTTAAACCCCCGATTGAGAACTGCCTTTAAACAACAGCAACAAAAACAACAACAACAAAAATGAAAAAACTGTTGGCTCACCTTGCAGCCCTCACAAGAATGCACCCCGTAGTGGAAACCTGACGCCCGGTCTCCACATATCCTACACAAGACTTCCAGCTCTGTCGTGTACTGGGGTTTGTACTGCTGTGGATGGACATAGACAGGTGTTCACAGAGTGTACGGGCGTGGGGATGTTGGTTGGGGTGAGCAACGTGAAACGGTGACGTACAGTGATCAAATGTGGTAATAGGGTAAGTAGATATAATCATAATCGTCAATTATATATATATATATATATATATATATATATATCATGGGCGCCCGCAGAAAACTCTCTAGGGGGGGGGGGGGAAAAAAAAAAAAAAAATCTGAAGTGCTCCCCGGTAGAAAATTTATTAAAGAAACTCTGGCGACAGTGATCTCATTTTTTTTCAAAGTCTCAATCCGTTGGTCTGGAAGTGTCTTTTGTATTTCAATTTTAAATTGTCTTTTAAGCGGCAGTGTGTCTTTAAGTTCATCATGCTCAGATCCAAGAGATTTAATTTCAATGTTCGTAGATATTTATCACGAGGAATCCGCTGTCTGACCAAGCTTATTTACTGACCCAATGAATAGTGAGTAGACATTGCACTTTTAACGCTCTTCGTCGGAACCGTCAACAAAAGACATTGTCTCAAAATCGTCCATTTCATGATTACCGTTTGATGATTACCGTTTGGTAATTATCATTTTGATGATTACCTTTAAATGCATGGGCACCCGCAGAGAACTTTCTAAAGGGTTGGGGGGCAAAAAAAATCGATTAACTTTCCGGGAGGGGGGGGGGGCAAAATTTTTTTAGTAATGTTTTAATATAGTTTTAATTTAC